TGAAGTTGACATATTTTAAATATTCAAGAAAAGTACATGTGAGCCAAAGCAAACTAACCTTCAACTATAATGGCCACAGATAAATTGTTACCAATATGTAGGAACTCGGGGAGTATTGTTCCCATGAGTCTTTCCTAAGAAATCCACTAGCAAATGCACTTCAGACAGCCAAACTTCCTAGAGAGACATCAACATAAGGGTTGTGTGTGAGCATTGTAATATTATTTATTTGCAGAACTGAGACTGAATAAAGGTTAAAAGAGAGAGTATAGTAGTATGTAATGACCATATGATCTGACAATGTAGATATTATAACCATAAAAAATGGGAGGAGAATGGGGATGGCATTCACAAAAAATTTTTTAATCTGTTTTCAGTAATCATAATTGGTGGAGGTGGTATTACTGGTGTATTCTGAGACTGTGTAATGTGGGGTAAAGCAAATAAGAAATTATGAAATATTCTATTTCTCTATTTCTGTGCCCTTAAGAACCATGATTATTATTTGGTTTACAGAGATTTATTAAAATTGAAAGTTGTTTGATCTTCTGTCCCATGAGCATCCATCCAGCTGCCTGTCAACTAGTAAGCTGCACGATTGCTGCTGTCATTAATGCCTTTGAAATCTTCAGGGTAAGAGCAGGTCTGCCTTTGCTTGAAACTCCTTGTTCCATGCCTTGTAGCCAACCCAACTCTTCATACCTTTATATAAAAGGTCTCCAAAACCTGCACTCCAAGCAAGTCATCCACAGATGAAAACATATACCCACTAGCAAAACAAAAAATTCATCCAGACACATCAAAGACTCAAGTCTTCAACTTCCGGCTAATTCTGCCTAATGCCTGTTTAGTGCCTGTTTGCCTGTGGCTAGAGTGTGAAGCATGTGCTTTAGAACCTGGGAAGAAACAGCATCATGTAAACTTAGGGGCAATCTCTAAGAAGGAGCACTTTTTCTTTTTTTTGGCTGTGCTGCACAGCTTGCAGGGATCTCAGTTTCCCAGCGAGGGATTGAACCCAGGCCCCGGCTGTGAAAGCACCGAATCCTAACCATTAGACCACCAAGGAACTCCCAAAGAACCACAATTTTTGATGGAAGAAAGAAAATATAGATTTTTTTTGGTAGTTTTATAGTTCCAAATTTGAACTAGAAAAGTCAGTATGAACACTATACATACATAGCTTTGTCCACTGAGAAGACCTAGAGTGACCAACACGATAGTAATGAGTTTTCCTAGTTCATGGTGCTCTCTAACGGCCTTTTTTTAAAAATTAATTTATTTATATTTGTCTGCGTTGGGTCTTCATTGCTGCGCGTGGGCTTTCTCTAGTTGCAGGGAGCAGGGGCTACTCTTCGTTGCGGTGCGAGGGCTTCTCATTGCAGTGGCTTCCCTTGTTGCGGAGCATGGGCTCTCGGCACGTGGGCTTCAGTTAGTTGTGGCACGTGGGCTCAGTAGTTGTGGCTCATGGGCTCTAGAGTGCAGGCTCAGTAGATGTGGCGCAGGGGCTTAGTTGCTCTGCAGCATGTGGGATCTTCCCAGACCAGGGCTCGAACCTGTGTCCCCTTGCATTGGCAGGCAGATTCTTAACCACTGTGCCACCAGGGAAGTCCTCTAATGGCCATTTCCCATTAAAGAAACCAAGATTTTTGGAGAAGTAGGTGAGACTGTTGGATGCTCAGGAAATAGTAGGATCTATGGATTGGAGGTGAATGTGAAGGAGACAAACTATTGAGGTAAGCATGGTTGAGCCAGTGACCTGAAGGTGAGGTGGTTATTGGAGAGCTAAGTTTGAAGTTTCTAAGATGGCACAGTTTTTTGGTGATGCCAAGGTCTAAGTTATGACTGGTGGGATAGAGGAAAGATCATGGAGGGCAAGGTGGTCAAGAAACTGAGAAGTCAGAGTATTAGATGGGAGATCCAAATGGATGTTGAGGGCACTAAGAATAATGAAAGAGGATGGTCTGCAGAAGAAGACAGTGAATCAGGAGCTGAAGTTTTCAGTGAGTAAGAGTCAGTGACCTGAGGGGCGAACAAGAGCATCATGGAGGGAGAGGGTGTCAGAGCCTGACTGAGTGAGTCTGTAAAGAGCAGAGGGGTTGCCAGCAGAAGGGAGTAGTGGGTGGTCTGTAAGACATTAAGGAGCAAATGGGACACCACCCCAACCCCCTGCACCTGAGTTATTTGGAGTATGAGAGAAACCTGGAGAAGGCAGCCAGCAAAGAGGTGTGCTCTGGACAGACACAGGTAGGTTTCAGTTAAGGTCAAGAGACAAAGGAGTCTTCCGAGGGTGCTAATCACAAAGTGGGGATTCAGAGGAGCACAGAGGAGGGAGTTAGAGCAGAGGGAACAGGCTTGGACTGTGGTGGGGCAAGGAGGCATACAGCAGTGTTGGACTGAATGGGGAGAAGGAAGGGAGGGAGGGAGGGAGGAAGGAAGGAAGGAAGGAAGGAAGGAAGGAAGGAAGGAAGGGAGAGAGGGAGGGAGGGAGGAAGGAAGGAAGGAAGGAAGGGAGAGAGAGAGGGAGGGAAAGAGGCAGGGAGGGAGGAAGGAAGGGAGAGAGGGAGGGAGGGAGGAAGGAAGGAAGGAAGGGAGAGAGGGAGGGAGGAAGGAAGGAAGGAGGGAAGGGAGAGAGGGAGGGAGGGAGAGAGGGAG